TGTGTGTGTGTGTGTGTGTGTGTGTGTGTGTGTGTGCACTCTGTCACCAGGACAACCCTTTAAAATTGAAATAGCCTTTTTTTTTTTTTTTTTTTTCTCTGGAAGGCTCCGATCTATTTGTGGGGAGCAGCACGATCTGGGAACCGGTCCCAGCATCCCTTATGAGATTCATACAAAAGGTGAGGCACCGGGGCCATTACCCGGGCTTACAATCTCATATGTGATACTTTAAATGCGGGGTAATGTTTTGAATCTTTTGATGAAACGGCCTCTTCATTGTTGTATTCTGAATGGTCCAAGGCCCACCACGTCTGTGTATTTCACACCTGTTTGTCGTTCAGCACACCTGCACCTTCTGTTTTCTGTTCTCTTAGTCATGCTCATTCATATGTGTTGATTAGTTCTACATGGGGGGGGACTGGAAGAATCGGCTTGAAAATCTACATGCTAGCCGAACACCGGGTGGGTCATCACAGTGCGGCAGTGACTGATCAAGTTTCTCAGGATTCTGACGCCGACATTGCCCGTCTGTGGACACGCGATGATGGGGTCACATCACATCCAAGGTAAGACTGTTTAGCTGTTGCAAAGTCTGGTCTGCGACTGCTTGCGCAACAGGTGATAACCTTTCAGCAAGGCGCACTCTGTAGCTGGTTCAAATGAGAGTCGGTTTTCTACCTCAGACTGCTGTGTCTGTTCCTTGTCCAGCGAGGATGGAGAAGGTTTGATTACCGTTGTAGCCGGAGGAACTCCAAGAATCAGGTGCAGGACATGAACGGAGAGGATGTGGCGGATGATGGCATCCGGTATCGTCCATGCAGTGAAGAGATATACTCTCCATCGCAACTTACTGGGTACATGGCATGTTGCTCGCATGCCAGTCGCAAAGATTGCAGACATGCGGGCAATCCTTCAAGCATGGCATAGCGAAACCACAACGCATATCGGCGCACTAATATGCGGGTGGGGGAGCGGACGCCGGGCGGGGGAGGGGGTTAAATGGAAGACAAAGATGGGTCACAGTTCTCATGGCAATGGCTGGCAGTGACCATTCCTTTCTTGGTAGCAGCGACTATGCCATGCACATCCTGACCGGACGGTGTCTATATCTTCACACAGTGGCATAGCACAGTGACAATCCTCCTCTCAAACCATCAGAGGCAGAATCTGTCTGATCTGCGCAAGCAACTGCTGCATCTCAGTCAGGTGGAGGGGCGGGGGGATGGTTGCCCTGATTGTCCCCCAAAAGCCACAGGGCTTCACCCCCTTGATGGTGTGACAGCGCACTGCATACTCTTCCCTTTTAAAGATCCAGACTGAGTGGGACTTCATCACCCAGTGATAGTAAGGGGTAATATAACCCAGCAAGTGCACCCTTCTACAATTATCCCACAGGGTTGATGAATCATTTGCCCTGTGTATGTGTGTGTGTGTGTGTGTGTGTGTGTGTGTGTGTGTGTGTGTGTGTGCGTGTGCGTTTCAAATATCCCCGAATTCTCTACTGATTCCAAGCACAAATCACCACAGACCACCCATGTGTGTTGTCATGGGTGCGTGTGCATTATGAATTTTCACCGCAACATCCCCTGTTCCATCCAGATGAGTAGATCCAAAATCACAGCAACTTCACCTCTATTGTAGATGATGACGCATGCTTAAGTTGAGACAATCCACCATTATACAAGCAATGCGACACACTTGAGATGAGCCAACCCAACAATTAAACAGTTAGCAATATGAAACACAATAGATCCATTATATCATTTTCTTGATTATGTTTACCTCAGCTATCTTTGGGAGGGGCCCCATTTTATTTGTTCTTGAAGCTCCCCTCTTGTTGTGCCTCTCACGGACAAGGCTGGCCAGGTTGATATGTGTGTGTGTGTGTGTGTGTGTGTGTGTGTGTGTGTGTGTGTGTGTGTGTGTGTGTGTGTGTGTGTGCGGACAGGTACGTTGGATACAGGGGAAGGGAGGTACCAATTGATGCTCAACTGTAAATCACAACCATATCCATAGTGCATACATCTGCTCACACAATTTATTCTTATTTTGATTAGTTCGTGGACAGACTATTAACACACCTAACAGCCAGTTCTCATCGAAGCTGCTGTGAGTGAAGCTAATCAGAATAGGATTGGATCATATCATGTGTACAGTTTGTGTAGATGTTGTTGATACCTAGGTGACTTGCCTTTTTTTTTTTTTTTTTTTTTTTTTTTTTTTTTTTTTTTTTTTTTTTTTTTTTTTTTTTTTTTTTTTTTTTTTTTTTTTTTT